TGTGATCGGAGGGCATAAGGATTTATACTTGTTCGAGCGGAATGTCTCCACGTCCAGTTTGCTGCTGCTCGTGTTACCGGTACTAGTTTGTAGAAGGGTTATAAACGGGCGAGAGAGAGAAGGTCCAATTCTCTAGTGAAAAAATCGAACGGAGTTGAATCTTGTTGAGCTCGTTCAGCCGTGTGCTCGTGCTGTAAGAAAAATGGACTCTAGGCAAAATTTACTTTGGATTTTGCTGTTTGATGACCAACACAACCAAATTAGACTAATAGATTTACAGGTAATTATTTTGTAGTTTAATAGGATACAAAACTTGACTTGGACGAAGACGACGTGATGATCTAATAATCAACACCTGAAGAAAGATATGTGAAGATGCATAGAACACATACAAGGTCAAGCAAAGTCCAAGCACGAAGATTAAAACCAAGCCGGACGCAAGATCACGAAGAAACGAGCCCGGTAGAGGTGACCGGACGCGGCCCTATGAGTGACCGGACGCGTCCGATCAGGTGTCAGGCAACAGCAGCCGTCAGCAGCTGTGACCGGACGCTGAGCGAAGCAATAACCGGACGCACCGGTGACACTGTTCATCGTCACGGCAGTGTTTTCAGTGTGACCGGACGCAGCAGACTGGACGACCGGACGCACAAAGTGCAGCGTCCGATCGAGTCCAGAGAGGTTTCAGAGCGGCGCCAGCACTGAAAGGATCAAGATGTCCAAGAGAGGGATGAATTGGGCTAATTCTAAATTTTAGCAATAATTAAACTCTACACTTAGCCCACTTCACCCCTTGCCTAGAATGTGTTTCTATTATTCTACCGCACAAAAGTTTTGCACCCTAGGTTCCAAACCTACTCTAACATGGTAATTTTAGGAATGTACAGACAAAAAATAAATTGCACAAATATAAATGCTCAAAGTAAAGTGAGGGAAAAGAACGCGGCGATGTTTTTCCGAGGTATCGGAGAGTCACCATGTGATGTTGATTTACCGAGGTCCTACGTGACACTCGGCGGACTACCGGGTTTATATAAGTGAGAGTATGCACGTGTATTCTATAACGTCCCGCCTCCTCGAGGCCAGGCCCGCTTACATCTGATAGCTTTCCTAGAACATAGACTGCCCTCACAGACCAACACTAGTCTTTTCTTCGCACTTTGTCCTCACTCATGCGCTCCCGGGAAGAACTTTCCGGTCGGTCACCCATCGCTCCAGGCCAAGCACGCTTAACCTTAGAGTTCTTAAGAGATGGACTTCCAGAAAAGAAGTTGCAACTTGTTGGTACGAGTATCCTATTAATCCTATTAAGCCCTGAACCGGGGTGTTACATCCTCACCCCCTTAGGAGACCGACGTCCTCGTCGGTCAACCCTAGGCCAGAAACGTCCCCTCTTGGCCACGTCCGTGTGTCCAGTGCCAGCGCATGTGCCATGCTGGGTGACTACTCTGGGTCCACACCAGCCATGCGCACCATGCCTGCGCAACTGACGCACGCGCCCGTGAAACCACAAGGGTCGGCTCTGATACCATTCTGTAACGTCCCGCCTCCTCGAGGTCAGGCCCGCTTACATCTGATAGCTTTCCTAGGACACAGACTGCCCTCACAGACCAACACTAGTCTTTTCTGCACACTTTGTGCTCACTCATGCGCCCCCGGGAAGAACTTTCCGGTCGGTCACCCATCGCTCCAGACCAAGCACGCTTAACCTTAGAGTTCTTAAGAGATGGACTTTCAGAAAAGAAGTTGTAACTTGTTGGTACGAGTATCCTATTAATCCTATTAAGCCCTGAGCCGGGGTGTTACATGTCACTCCCCACTAGTCCTCGTTAGAGCACCCGCGCAAGGGTGTAGCTCCCTCTTGATCCGTGCAAGGATCAAATGCTCTCTACGGGCTGATTCTTCGACACTCCGTCGCGGTGAATCGCCCATAACTGCTCACAACTTGAGTTGGGTCATCCACAAGCTCCGTCGGATGATCATCAAACTCTCAATCACCACCGAGGTGTCTAGGTGACGGTGATCACCAAGAGTAACAAGCACAGACTCTCACTTGACCACGACAAGCCTAATGAGAAGGGTGGATGCACACTTGCTACTCTCCTTGGACTACTGAGGACCTTAATCTTGGATTCTCAGATCTCATTCACCTCACTAGGCTTTGGCTTTCCCTTGCACTCTCAAGGTGTTTCTCAGCTGAATAAATGAGCAAGAGACTTTTCTTGGACGAGTGAGGTAAGTATTTATACCCCCTCATTTAAAACATAACGTTACACAACAGAGCATGGATTAAAGACATAGACCTGCGACATGCAGGCTTCACCTCCCAACACTTCATGGAGTATGTCCAGCTTTGGAGCGCTCTCAACCACATCCAGCTACAATCAGATAGGGAGGATAGCATTAACTGGAAATTTAAGCAGGATGGAAAATTCACAATAGGATCCGCTTACCACGTGCAATTCGTTGGGGCAACGCTGACAAATTTCAAACAACTGATCTGGAAAGTCCGGGCACCGCCAAAATGCAAATTCTTTGGATGGCTCACAATCCAAAACAGAATCTAGACCGCCGATAGCCGATAGGCTACAAGCAAGGAGATGGCCGAATAATGGTGTGTGCCCCCTATGCAGGTGATGCCAAGAGTCTGGTGTTCATCTCTTCCAAGACTGTCGCTATACTAAGCGTATCTGGGAGGGCATTGCAATATGGTTGGGTAATGAGCAGCTGCGACCTTCCGCCTGGGAGTTAGGAGACTCGGTACAAATTTGGTGGGATAACTTAGATCGCACGCCTTCAATGGTGAGATGAGGACTACGCTCTATCATCATTCTTGTTTGCTGGGAGGTATGGAAGGAAAGAAATGCAAGAACCTTCGAGCACAAGGAATTCGCACCAATGCAGCTTCTCCAGAAAATCAAAGAGGAGGCGAGTCTATGGGCAATGGCGGGAGCAAAACATGTCTCTAAATTATTATTGCGCGCTTGATGTGCGGTCTCCTGAGTCGAGGCGTTCGGACCTTTGCGTCTGCTTGTACTTTCTGTATATATATGTTTGTACTGTGCCTTTCTAGGCTTCCTTCTTTTTAATACAACAGGCAGCTCTAATGCTGGTTCCGTTTAAAAAAAAAGAATTACTTTGAGGGCCAAAAATTTTCTTCAGTGCCAAAATAAAACCACCAAGCTAATTACTCATTTTCTTAGGTATTATTTGAAACCGCCAAGGTAATTCAGTTTTCCTTGAGTGCCATTCAAAACCGGCAATGAAGTTCTCAGGGCTCTCAAATTGAAAATTTTGAATTTCCCAAATGACCTAAGATAATGACCTAATATAATCCAAAATTATAGTACTTGACAAGATGTAAAACTTTTCGGTTCAAGCCTTTTACATTTGAAATTGTTTAGGTTCTCAAATATTCATTACAAGATTCAGTAAAGTGAATACAAAAGAAAAGATTAATTCACTATATATATATATATATCCTCTCGGATGGATAATATGGATGGATTATATTATTGCGAGATTATTTCGACCGATGGAGGATCTCGTAATCGTAAACGAATGAAACCGCGTAAGAGCACGAGGTGCGCACAACACAACGCGTGAGCATCCTTATGAGAAATTAAAGCGCGTGCCTACCGTACGTGGTGGGAGAGAGACGTTACGTACGCACGCCAGAACACAGCCTGTTGGCTCGTTGGTTTCAGCCAGTCCAAACCAGCCAGCCAATAGTGTTTTTCTCTCACAAAAAATCAGCATCAGTCATCTTAAACTAGCACCAAACCAGTTGTCAATAATAGTATTTTTCTCATAAAAAACCAAGACCAAATACCAAACTCAAACCCAAGACCAAAGACCAAAGACATCAATCAAATGAAACGTGCCCAAAGAAATAAAAAAAAAGAGCCTGGACTGGATTACTGGAACAACCACGGCGTGTTCTTCTTCCCAAACTAAAGAAAGAAAGAAAAATGTGTCTTTCCACATCGAGCAACGCGAAACGTCTTATTCGCTTAGCTTATAAATTATACTTTTCAATAAATAAATAGTATTTTTCTCTCACAACAAATTAACCCATAGTACTTTTAGTCATAACGTATCAGCCAAGCGAACAGGGCAATTAGTACTAGTCTAGTCTAGTAGTAGACAGGGGCGAATCTATGTGTATTCATTAGATCAGCTGACCCCGGTAACTTACTAGAAATACACTTAAAGTTCTTTAATCCACCTGCAAATTACTCTTTTAAATAGAAAATCAATATATGTTTAATCCTGATGCTTAGTCCTTGACCCCAATGACATGATATTCTGGATTCGCCCCTAGAGTAGCATCGGAGCTGCGGTGCATCTATTCTCAGGAACGCGTTATTTTTTTTGAAGCAAGGAACGCGTTATTTGACATCACTGACCGTGTTTTTGTGGGCAAAGCTCAAGAAAGATCCGGTGCACCAACCATGATCCACAACATATACGAGCAATACCAGCCCAGCAAGCCTTCCAGCCGTCAAACCGAGAGTCGAGCCGTGTTAGCTCGAGGCCCATTATCCTCGCCGGCTAGCCGCCGCTTGCTTTGTTTCCCCTTGGTGCTACGCAACTACCGGTCAGTTCAGTTGACTGCACGTCTGCTCATCCGATCTGACAGAGTCAACGCCTCCTGCTTGCCAAGGTTCCTTCCAACACAGCACCCAGCTGGACTGGGCTGGAGCTCAAATCGCAACCACCCAACAGGAATCGCAGAGGATGACAAATAACTGACAATGAATTGATCGTCGCAAATCTCCACAAATTTCTACACATCCAATTTCTCCACTCCTACAAATACTCTTCCAAGCACACACAACAACAATCTCTTGCAACAACAAGAAGAAAAATCTTGTCTTGAAGAATTAATTTTACAGGAAGGAAGGAAAGGAAGCAAGAAACTAGAAAAGGCAGTCACCAAGCAGAAATGGAGCTAGCCAGGCCACCAATGGAGAGCTGGAGCAGAGTTAGCTAGCTAGCTAGCACCCGGACTTCTTGGCGCGGAGGATGGTGCACTTGGTCCGCTGGAACGCGGTGGCGGCGACGTCCGGGTCGACGAGCTGGAGCTGGAGCGGGCACACAACGACGAGCGGGCACTTGGCAGAGCGGCCCTTGTACTGGAGCACCGTGTCGAGCCGCATCTCCACGCCGAACTTCCCCGTGTCGTTCTCCGCCCGGAACTCGCCCACCCCGGGCTTGCTCAGCTTGATGGGCTTGTCCGCGCCGCCGACCGTCACGCTCACCGTGGCCGTCTTCCGCGGCTTGTGCTCGAACGCGGGCACGGACGCGGAGTCGTCGAAGCGGGTGCCGTTGAAGGAGAAGGTCACGGCGAGCGCGCCGTACTCGATGGCGCGGTACATGTTGGGGTTCCGGAGCGACACCGTGGCCGTCACGTTGTAGGAGACGGTGGAGTTGGACGCCGGGTCTGCGGGGGTCAGAGCGAACCGCTGCAGCACGGCGTCGTCGGCGGTGGCCTTGGGCGGGCGCACCACGCCGAAGGCGAGCACGAGGACGATGATGACGCCGCACACGACGAGGACGACGACGGTCCAGATGGCGATCTGCGTCCAGCTGCAGTCGGAGCAGCAGCCTTCGTCGTTCTTGCCGCTGCACCAGCCCTCATAGAACGCCATGGTCGGGTGTGGGGTGGTCGGGTGGACGCGGAACTTGCGGGGCTGGCTCTCGGAGACTGAGAGAGTTGGGGGAAAAGGCTTCTTCCAGCTAAAAGAACTCTCTCTGTTGAGAGAATCAATCGCCCCGCTCCTCACCGATTGTTATTGTTAAGGCCCCGTTTAGTTCCATTCAAAAACCAAAAATTTTTGCGCAGTATCCCTCACGTCGAATCTTTGCGGCACGTCATGGGAGTCTTAAAGAATAAAAGGAGGGTTAGGTGAGAAATCGCGAGACGAAACTTTCAAACCTAATTAGTCCATAATTAGACACTAATTATCAAATAAAAACGAAAGTGCTACAGTACCAAAACCCAAAAATTTTTGGATCTAAACACGCCCTAAATAAAGAAAGAATAAAGGAGGGAGGGCCAGGGGACGACGAAGACCTGGACGCGCGAGGACGGAGGTCACGCTCGGAGAAGCCCACCCACCAATCGGAAATCTTGGAGAAATGAAATGGCAAGTGAAATGAAACAGGAGAGGAAGGTGACCGTTGCGCTGTGGGGAAACGGGGGATTTTTTTGCTGGACGGAGATGCTGCTGTAATGCTGTTCACCGGCCGCCGGACGCCGGTTGGTGGTGCACTTGACTAGAGGGCCGCGCCAGATAGGCTCGGGCGGCTGTGTGGCCTGTGGGCGGACCACCCGAGGGCTTTATAAAAAAAAAGGGGGGGGTAATTGAAGAAGTTGTAAATTCCATATGGGCGGAGATTGTGAATAAAACACTTAAGCCCAATTACCCAACCCTTGTTTAGCTGCACCCTAATCTACCTCATTGATAAACCAGTTAATTTTTACCTTCAATACATCCAATATACATATAGATTGGAGTGGACTGAAGTGCAATCACTAAAGAATTGAGAACGATAGTTAATTTTTACCTTCAATCCATCCAATATACATATAGGTATGGTATCCACGCAATCACTAAAGACTATACAACATTCAAAATTGAATGAAACAATAAGAACAAGACATTAAGCAACACAATTTCTTAAATGATAGTTCAAGGTAATCATGTCACTGAAGAATCAGATTATCCAGTGATCACTGTTTTGCAGCACATTGATTGCAAAATGTGGAATCCATTATTATTGATTCAAGTGTAGAAACATCTATCAGTTTTTTGCTATGAATATCGGCTGACTCTGAGCCATAATACATCTCAATATATTATCAAATAATAAATGGCCACATCTATCAGCTAAAAAGGTTAGCAAATATAAAATCTGCTGTACTGAAACAAGCGCAAAAGGAAGGCTGCTTGTACTTTCTTCAACAGCCACATCTCTTATTAACTAGAATGAAGGATCTATTGCTGAATCTTCAAGACAGGAAAGGCAATAACATCCCTTATGCTAGAAGAGTTTGTCAAAAGCATTACTAACCGGTCGATACCAAGGCCCTGAGGTAAGTTCAACAAAAATTAGTCACAGAAAACATAGGTTCTCAATAAATAATTAGCAGTTCCAAGAACATTAACAAATTAGCAGTCGTGAAAATAAACAATTTAATCAGTCATACCATTCCTGACGCTGGTGGCATTCCGTATTCTAATGAAGTCAAGAAGTCTTCATCTAAAGAAACTTCATAGGAATAATCATCATCTCCTTCACCTTCAGTAGATTTGACCTCCTTAGCCATCGCAGCACGCTTAGCATTGTGCTGTTTTATTTGATTTTCAAAACGGTTCCTCTGCAATAAAGATAAAATGCACATATGAAATTAAAATGGCCAAGAAGCATGTATGTGATTTCCATCTATCTTAATGATCACCTAAATAACATATTCCAGGTGCTCTGGGGGAATTTTGAGCTATAATATGGTGCTACATCACAGACAGACTGTAGGAAGTTAACCAACCACCTTGGTTTACCTTTGTTTTCATTTCAAGTACAGCCCACATTAGATGCCAGTGGAACAAAGAGAATTTTGAAGAAACAGAAAATGTTCGTAATGGTAGACCATTCTATACCACACATCCACAACGTAATTTTACAGATTGTCAACTGAAATAGTGTCAAATGCGTAAAATTCCAAATACTCAATATTTGATACTCTTTACAGAACTTCACAAAGAAATGCTGCAAATGATGGCACTTAGGCATGCAGTAAGAAGCCAGGACATTCTTACCTGATCAATTGGGTCTGTGAGCTCAGAAAACGCATTGCCAATCTCACGGCCACAAATGAAAAGTTCGAATCTCTCAGTAAGGCCAACATGACTACAGCAAGAGGAAAAAATTACTGAGGTGAATACAAAAGGTCATAACATAATGACATGCACCAAGACTCTAATTAAACAATTAAAATAGAAAAACAGTTCATTTGTACTGAAAGGTTCCTAGCATCCAGTAACATATATTACATAATATAAACAGTGTAGCATGTGTCAGAAACCAAAACATTTTTATCTTGTGGCCTTTAGCAGAGTTTGCAGAATAAAGACAACGGTTTCTAAAATATGTGTGTTTGTGCACACAATTTTCCATTCATAGAGTTGCTTGTACCAAAAAAAAAAAGGTTGAAATAATGAACTTTTGACTTCAAAGTGTCCTTAATAAAAAATATTTCAACATTGACTGTTGATTCTTTTATGGCATGGTATCATTAACCACAAAAATGGCATAAAATATTGTCACTAAACCTATATCATTTGAATCTCAAAATATGTGGGTGCCATGCAAAATGAAATAGGAGTATTTACCTCCGATGTGGTTTTGCCAATGGTGATATCTCAACTGGGTAGTCAAGGACAAATGTTGGTTGTACAAGAGTAGATTCAACAAAAGTCTCAAAAACCTGGCCATGAGATGTAAAATTGTTAAATGAGGTTCATGAGCTAAAACAACCAAGTTTCAACCAACCAAATGAAACTTAGAACACTAAGACAATTAAACCTTGCAGTTCAAGATTTTAAGTAGATAATACAAAATGACTGGATGTTCAATGCAATAGATCCAACTATGACGTCAAATAGAGCTAAATTCAAGCATCACTTTGCATTGGTTGTCCATAGAACAAAGAGTAGTTATCTCCCTCTCATGAACCAATGGCTAGAATCCTTGTAATTCTTTGTATTGTTTCTTTGCTTTCCTGTTCCCTAATATTGTAGTAGTAGTAGTAATAAAAAAAGCGAAAAACAAGGTAAAAAACCAACAATCATGGGCCTTCGAACCCTTGACCCTTTCCCTTAGAAAGGAGATTCCCACCACCAAGTTGTTGCGGTTTCATTTAGAAACAAAACTTATTCTAAATTATTATTGTAGAACCCGGTTGAGCCAATTAGTTCAACTAATCAAAACGTGAACTGAAAGTCTGAAACCTTGAGTGGTTCGTTGTCCAGTCAAATTACCTTATGGCTTACGCCATGTTTATTGGGCTTGAGCATGCTAGGGGTTTTTCTCCCGTTGCAATGCATGGGCATATTTGCTAGTATACAATAAATAGGCGGCCATCATACTGTTTCATAAGAAAACAGAGACCAAGGACACAACATTTCATTGATACTCTAATCTGAACAAAGTTCTCAGGACATAGCCACATACATGTTTATAAGCTGGTGAGGTAAACCAAGAAAGCACAATTCTCAAGTAGTGGTGTACATATTCACTGAACTACACAATCCATAAATCTTTAGTAAACTCATTATGCCAAATCAATAGACTTTCCATAAGATCCATGAACAAATTTTCGGAAACAACATATTCATATTCATAATAAAGTCAATTGTGGCAGCCAAATATGTGAGCCACTAGTCCATCCACATAATTAAAAATTCAAAACAACCCATAATTAAACAGACACATTAACTAATAGCATGTTTACTCAGCATAATAGTGGCTCTGGTTTCCGTAAGCAGGAATGGAACAACCCACAAAATAGGAGACAAAAAGCTACAACATTCATTGCCAGATTCCATCAGTGTGGTCTTTGCATTTTGGTCTTTGCAGAATATACTTTACTCTATTTTTGGCTGGCTTCTGTTTCTCTAACAAAAACTTCACTTTCTTTTTATAGGCAATCTATTTAATCCCACTTGTTTAAGTGAACAGGAGAAGACTCATTACCGTCAATAAAAAATAAAACAACAATAACAAAACCTTATAGTCCCAAGCAAGTTGGGGTAGGCTAGAGTTGAAAGCCAAAGTGAGCCACCAACAAAAAAAGAGAACGAAAATGAACACCATCAATAATAAAACAAGTGTACAAAATGAAAGCCTCAAGTTACCTCATTGAGAACATGTCCAACAGATGAACAGGCTTGCAATGAAGTACTTTCATTGTTTCCTACTTCGAAACCTGGCAGCCCCCTCACAGCTCTTTTTGCAGATTCAACGTCTCCGAAGCTGTTAAAGTCAATTCCAGTTGCTTCTTTGACAAGAGAATGCATGGTCTCCCTCCTCCATGGTCTTTCAAGCGAGATTTCAGTTCCCTGTTTGATATTAAACAGCACATTGTTAACTAATGGTAGAAAGACAGAAATGTACAGCTCTGCATTGAAGTGTCAATGCAAGTGCATATGTACTACAAGCTCAGGAAGTAATAATTGATAAGTAATTTGTTGAAATGGCACCAAAAAAGGTTACACAGCAATGTAGCAAATTGGGGATATATACATAAGCGACAAATCGCAGCATGATGTTTGCGTGATAAGGCATTGGTGTCCAAACAATTCAAACAGAATAGCGTGCAATATATGCTCAAACTGATATTAGAGTAAAGACCATGATTACCTCATAATCAACCTTAAGCTTGCCATGAGTAGCCATAGCACATCGAGTAACAATTTCTTCAGCCATATTCATCATGCTTTCATAGTCTGAATATGCTTCATACATCTAGTTTGCAAAGATAAGTAGAGTCAGACCTTATTTAAGGTATAAAACATTCTGCAATGCAAAAAGGAGGCAGACAAAGGAACGTAGAATATACACTATGCACTTATGCTGGCAAGGATAAAAGTAATCCATTGATATAAGCATATTTGGAGGGGGAAAATAAACTCCTACCTCAATAGTGGTAAATTCAGGATTATGGCGAGTAGAAATGCCTTCATTCCGGAATATTCTTCCAATCTCATAGACCTTCTCAAGCCCTCCAACCTGCACTATATCAATGGTACTCAGGAGTAAGAAAAAGATTGCCGCTGAAAAAAGTTGTAGAAACAAAATAGACCATTGGCACAGTGCATACTGCATAGTCACATTGATACCCTTCAAATGCTTAAGCACAGCTGAATAAAGGCGTGAATAAGTGCTATAGCATGAAATCTTAAAGTCATAAATTCATCCCAAAAGAAAAATATATTGGTATTGGGGGACATATTTGACATCTACCAGTGGAGGCGCACAGGATTAATCTGGAAAACAAATTTCAAAGCTTATGCATTAATAGCTGTACTAACATGCTAGATTAAGATCATACTGACGAAATTAAGATATGTTGATTAATAATTGTATGAACATGCTAAATTCAGCAGACTGACATAATTACAATACAGTAGTTTTGGTTATATAAGATTCTGCAGTATGCATGTAGTATACCTGTATTCAGCATAAAGAAAAAGCAATTGATGCTGCCATGAACTGGTTAAAGAATCAACTATGAAGCTATCAAAATAAAAAGAACGAGGAACTGAAATGTAACCTTACCAACATCCTTTTCAAATGTAGCTCTGTTGCAATCCTCAAGTAAAGATCTCTTTGAAGTGAGTTATGGTAGGTAATAAAAGGTCTAGCTTCAGCACCACCTGCTGCTCCCTGTTTTTAACATTTTTACTATGTATAATGTTGTAAATGAAGACAAGGACAACCAGAGAAGACAAACTAGTGATCAATAACAAGCATAGTGACACAAAAAGAACCTAATTCTTTTATAACATATTAGTACTATGCTAGGTTGTATCAGCTATTCAGCTGCATTGGTTCAACTACACTAATAGCATATTAGCATTTTTTAAGAAAGACATGGTTATGGCCAATATGTTTTCTGCTTTTTTTATGCTGAGCTTTACAACCTATGTGCGCCATCAATGATGATGATGAGATCATCCCTTGTTATGCTACACAAACGATTCAACATCTAGAGATGAATTGACAGAGTAGGAATCCAATATGCTGATGTTTCAAGTTATTCACCCCTCAATAAAATTCAGGCCAAATCAAATTAATGTAAAAATGAAATTGTGCATTTGTCCTCGTGCACTTTTAAGCTTAAATGCCTTTCTGCTTTAGTGTAAAGTAGTTTCATGTGTTCTATTTTTCAACAAATGCACATAGGTTTTCATTTAAAATCAGTTTTTTGCCGAATACGTTTGTGTCATTTCATTAAAGGTAAGCAAACAAAGAATAACACCACACCATCAGCATATCATATTTTACATTCAGATTATGAACACAGAAAGTTTATTCGTGGTTTTTTTAGTGCACACATGTGCTGCATTTACAGATTAAAAAAAAAACATGCAAGTCCTAGCTGGATGCGATTGCCCCTTTTCTTTTTGGTTCCACAATCACTAGAAGCAAAAATATGGCCATATGGACCATCTTAAATTGTCCTGTAAAGGTTTGAATATCACAGAGGTGACCAATCCACTAGCTTAAGAGCTGAATAAGACTTACTTAAGTTAGTTTTTTTTTTCAATATTGAGCCTTATAATGTAGAGTAAGGTTTGAAAAATAATTCAGAAGCATTACCGCAGTATGCAAGGAGGTAAATATTAATGGTCTATCTTCGGAAAGATTTATAAGATGTGTAGTGGATCTTTAAAAAAAGGAAAAAGGAAAGAAAAACCAAGCTGTAATTTCTATCCAATATATATCACATCAATTAGCCCAAAGTATTTACTATAGACATCTTATCAGTTCAATGATTACATATTATATAGCTGACTGATCCTGCTGAATAACAACCTAAAAGGTATGCAAAAAGAATACCTGTAGAACTGGAGTTTCAACTTCAATAAAACCAAATGATTCCATTGTCTTGCGGATCTCAGAAACCACCTGTCAAATGCAAATATCTAAGTTCAAAGTATAAAAGAAGCTACAACAAATTCTGCTAGTGCAGTAACTATTCATTAAGCTAGTTATTTTTGGAGGACCTAAGGACATGCTCTTACAATATGACAACATATGCGTTAATTTCTTTATTCCTACCACACCTCTCTTTAACCCATTAAGAAAAATATGTTCCTGTGCTACATAATATTTAATATGATATAAGAGTTTCCCAAGCTAAATTAGTAATTATAGGTGTAGTTACTTGCCCATCAGTTTCAGAATATAGATTTAGCATCACATGTAGTCAATACCTTTGCCCTAGTTCGGAATACATCAGCAACCTTTGGATTTGCAATCATGTCAACATACCTGTCATTAATCAAAGATAGCACACATGGTCAGTGCACTGTGCAGAACAATCTTGCAATCATTTAAACTAGGACTAGAAATGAAGGAATAGCAACAAAGATGCTAAAATAATAATCCTGAAGGAAATGGTACCTTTTAAACAATTAATCAAGCTGAAAGATACTAGAAATTAAACGCATTGGTAGTAGGTCCAAAATTTCAGTCTAGCTGTGCAAGGGCAGCAGCGTCCTCGCTTCTCTAATCAGGACAGAGCCATGCACTCCATGCGGACTCATGCTTCCCAATCTCAGTCATGCCAGGTACAGAGAGCATGCATGCAGGGCACTCAGGCACACGCACATGCAAATGCATAAGGAGAACAGGGCCAAAATTTCAGTCAAGCTGCGCAAGGGCAGCAGCATGCACGCCTCCCTAATCGGGACAGAGCCATGCACTCCTTGCAGGCGGGTGAGGCGCCTCATGCTTCCCTATCTCAGATATGCCAGGTACATACAATTTGTATGCAGGGCTCTCAAGCACACGGCACAAGAAATGATCAAGCAGACTACAGCAACCACCATGATGCTTGCATTGCGGTGGCTCAGAGACAACAGCATCAAACAAGCATGAGCACAGCAGCAAGCCACATCATGGTGGGGGTGTCATCCGCAGCTGCAAGGACGCAGCAATGCTCCTCTACGACAGAAGTGGCAGCAAGCCACAATGTGATGCAGCAGATGGGCGCAAACAGATGCCCAAGCATGCCTGATCACTCACGCGGAGAAGGTAATAATTTTTCTCTTGCAGGCACTATGAATCAATGGAATCACAGTGACAATGAAGGGCTGTGTGATCAGCAAGCCCTCTATCCAACAGAAGTACAGGAAAGGCATCATCAAGAGCATGGCCATCAAGCTCTCAGACAGGTGAACCAGACAGATGGCATGCAACAGAGGCAAGGGAGCCTACAGCTACTTGATGAAGGTAACAATTTTCCAACTGCAGGTATAACACTTCAAAGGAGTGTAAATGCAACAGCGGAGCACTGTCAATCGCCTACATTAAGGCTACCATCCCTGCCTCATTTTATTGTGACACAGCTGGCACTTTTACCTGGTACAAGGTGTTACACGGATGCATCCATTTTGCCTGATTCTTCAATGCAGGTTCCCAGGAAAGCAGGCTTGGGAGTGTTTTTTCTAGACACTCATTCAAACACGTCATCAGCTATCTACATCAAAGCTACACTCAAAGACTCCACCTCAGTGTTAATGGCTGAAGCTGCTGCTCTGGCACTGGCAGCTCAGATTGCCTTGACACTGGGTATCAATTGTCCGATATTTTTGTCGGACAATCAACAGCTTGTGACCTTCCTCAATGGAAGCGACCACACCCATCCATCACATTGGGACATTAAGCGCTTCACGCAGAGCTTCATCAACCAGTCTTCAAGGAACAATGGGAAAATCTTCAAGATTCGTCGAAAACTAAACACAACTGCTCATGTTCTAGCTACTCAGGCTTTTAGCTCATTGAGCTTACCTAGTACTCAAATGCAGATCAGTTGTACCAACACTAGTCATGTTAATAGCTGTCCTACAAGGATGGCCTTGCAATCTGTAATATGTGACTCTTTCACCATCATTGTAGCGAAATGCTGCTAATAAAGTTTGCATTTTATCCAAAAAAAAACGCATTGGTAGTACAAATGTACAATTGATGGTTTGTACATCGAAACCGTATATTAAGGTATTAAATGGGTACTGATTTTGAACAGCTGAGATATGACTTAGAAGGTGCAAGAAGCAAGATGAAAGCCAACCTTTGACGATAACGTTTGTCCACATCAGTTAATCCATGATACTTGTCTGGTAGTGGGAGTAAGGATTTTGTGAGAATTTCAAAAAATTTCACATAAACAGATAGCTCCCCTGCAATGAAACCCACCATGTCAAGAATATAGACATTTGGCAAATAACAAATTGACAGTATAGTAAGATATAGCCCGAGACACTCAAGCAGTTCAGGTATTTTAAAATTTGGGGCAGGCTGTTGTTTAGCTAATTTTCTTATTTATTTGTCTGCATAATGGAAGTAGGTTGCTTAGCTCTGACTTTCGCTATTCAAAATAATTTATAATCAAATAGCTAGTACTAGGGACTCACTTAGACACATACGAAAACGAATTCCTTTGAATCTAATCGACAAATGGTGCAAAGAATGAGAATCTCAATAGCATACTGATTCTAAGGAAATCACTGTACAAATATTCTTCTGGAAATTGTTGTCTCGTGTTTCAAATTTTAACTGAGTACAGACAAGTGAAACTACTGACTGATAGAATAGAAGTTATAATGAACCTTTCTCTGTCTTTTTAATGGATCCACTTGCACCTAATATATCACCAATATCAATAAATGCCTTCAGTTGCTCAAATTGGTCCTCCGTAAGGCTGTCTTTCTCGCAATAAAGCTTACCCATAGCCAAAAGAAAGAAAGTTCCAGAAACACATAATCAGTTCCAAACAAATTATCATACTTCTGTAGCTCGTAGCTACTAATAACAACAAATGCAACTGCAAACTGCAGATAGCTCAGTTGCTATGTGAGGATGGCTTTACAAGCACAACATTATCAAGCAACATATCCACATCAAATCAAATTCTAAGGAGACTAGGAGAGAACAAAAAAAGGCGAGTCGGTTGAAAGATCAGACCTGCATGGTCCCCGCATCGTCTCTTACAGTCATAAAAACAAGCTTCCCAAATGCTCTTCGGGCAACAATCCTGCCAGCAACGGACACCGACACGTCCTCGCAGACTTCACCATTCACAAGATGAGCGTACCGTTCCTGAAGCTCCTTGGTCGTGTGAGTCCTGTCCCACTTGTACGCGTACGGCTCATGCCCCTTCGCTCTGAGCTCCTCAACCTTGCACCCAGAAAACCAACGATCCGAAGGCCCGTCAGTAGCAGCACGGACCGAAAATTGGGAGAAAAACAGAATCCAGCACCAAACAATGTAGCACTAAGAACTGACTTTTTTGAGGCGGATGGCGCGGATGGAGTCCCGGTCGGAGGTGGAGGCGGATGAGGATGCGCTACGGCGTCGGCGGTCCTGAGGCTGCGCCGGCGGCGGGTTCGTGGTGGCGGCGGCCGCGGAGCAGCAGCGGATGCGGAGCCCGAGGGGCCTTGAAGCGGCGGCGCGGGAGGCCGCGAAGCCGATGAGATTGGAGGAGGCCCTCCACGCCCGCAGCGCCTCCATTGCTCCAGGCAGGGCTCAACGAATGAGCGGGTTTGTCGGAGGTGCCCGCAGCCCGGCACGTGCTCGCCGCCGCGGCGTCCCGAGCGTGCGACTGACCAGCCGCGCCGGGAGAGGGAGTGAGGGAGCAACGCGACGGACGGGGGCCGGTCGCGGGAGCGAGGATAGGGTCTGGCTGCTGGCTGCTGACTGCTGAGATGGGCCCGAACGAAACCCACCCACGGCAGCCACGGCCCACGGGGAAGCGTCGGCAGCCCTGGACCAACCCAGCCCTCCCCGCGGCCCATTCTAGCTGGGTTGACGCGTCAGTCGCCAACGGGCAATGGCATATGCCGTGCGCGTTGCGGCCGGACCCACATGTCCCCGGGAGGGCCCCACCTGTCGGGCCAACCATGGAAATATCTATATCTCTCCTCTGCGCCGCCGCCGGGATTTTAGGGTTCTAGGCCGACTCCACTCCGGATGGGCGACTGCCTCCTTGCCTCGATTATTCCCCATCTTGTGTCCCTATAGTAGGTCGCCTTTCCTCCCTTCGCTAAAAATAACGAGGCAGAGGCAACTTCGATTCGACGTGCGCTTCCTCTTCCTCGCTCGCTCCCAGTCGCAGGTAGCTAATACGTCCTCCCTCCCTCACCTACGTATCTCTTTCCGGGTACGTAGATCTCTCTTTGGTCGATCTGCTTTCGGTTTGTCTGTTCTTCGTAAGATTCACATCTGTGATGCGGCTCTAGTAAGATTTGGTCGGGATTTGCTAAGTTTGACCAGCGTATGCATCGACCCCCGATCTGGATTCTGGAGCGTGATTATCTCTCCTTTTGTTGTTTTGTAAACAAACAATCTCCATGTGTTGCATCGTTAAGTTACACGCACACATGGATTTTGTATTTGTATCTACCAATCGATAAGTTGCACGCACACATGATTGAAGTTCAACCTTGCTGTGTTGTCGTTAGGTACGCTTCCTGAGCACATTATGTACTGATTTCTGCAAATTATTAGTAAAGGTTATAAACTGTAAAGTCAATTTTCGTGAGCCTGCTTTTATTCTTCTGCTAACATGCCCGAGCATATATTTTATTAAGAGGAAGTTCTGCTGCTTATAAAATACGCTTTGTGAGCTTTGTTTCTTGTGGGGAAAAAAAGCGGTGGAAACCTTTTCTTCTAAAATAAATATCACAAGTGAAAGCTTTTGTTGGTTGATTTTTTCTCTTTTGCCTTAGTATAATCAGTAATGATGACTTAAAAAGTTTACTGTACAGGGTACCTGTAACCTTCACAGAATCTGCAGTTATCTCTCTTGGTAGCTCTAGCTTCCTACTTATATGTGTACATATTTGTTTATCTGTTCTAGTAATGGCTGATGTTGATGAGTACCGTTGCTTCATCGGGAATCTGTCCTGGTCGACAACTGATGAAAGCCTCAAGGATGCGTTCAGAAAATTCGGCAACCTCACTGAGGCAAAGGTGACGTGAATAACCTCTCGTCTTTAGTTTTGCCTGAGTAATCCTTTTTACAAGCATGATAATTCCGAAGGTTGTGTTGGTAACTGTTGCTTAGGATAGTTTTTTTTTCTCTTTTAACTAGTCAATAATTTTCTTTTGAACTGCGGTAAACATTGGTATACTAGTTTGTCTCTAAAGAATCTTAAATCTAACTGATTTGCGCAAACACATCTTTTTTTTTCTCGGACTATATCCAAAAATATTTCGCCATATAGTTATGTATGCTGTTTTTGTTCCTACGAATGCTCTAGGAAATATTTTTGCCTCTGAATGGTCAAATAATTTTTAACTCACGTAAAGCGTACATCCATTGTGTGTACAATGTTGCTTTGTGCTTTATTTGTTATCTAGCATGGTCTCTTATTTATAGTTTATTTAATTTTGTTTTGCTGGTAATATGCAGGTGGTTCTTGACAAATTTTCTGGCCGTTCTCGTGGTTTCGGCTTTGTAACTTTTGATGAGAAGCAAGCCATGGAGGATGCTATTGAGGGAATGAATGGACTGGACTTGGACGGGAGGAACATCACTGTTGATAAAGCTCAGCCACAAGGACCTGGTAGAGACCGTAATGGTGACCGTGATTATGACCGTGAGCGTGGATCTCGTTATGATCGTGGTCGTGACTATGGTGGTGGGCGTGCACCGCGAGGTGGTGGTGGTGGTGGTGGTGGTGGGGACTGCTTCAAGTGTGGGAAACCTGGTCATTTTGCTAGAGAGTGCCCATCTGGGGATGGTGGGAGAGGGGACAGATATGGTGGCAGAGATGACAGGTATGGTGGTGGTGGTGGTGGTGGTGGTGGCGGGCGTTATGGATCTGACCGTGGTGGTGACCGATACTCTGGCCGTAGCCGAGATGGTGGCAGCTATGGGGGCGACCGCTACAGCCGTGACCGATCAGGTCCTTACTGATGGCCTAGTTCTTGAGAAGTATGTGCCATCCAGGTATGAAAGCCTATCTACTATTATAAGGCTTGTTATTGTGTCTGGAACTTTGTTATCCTGTAGTTGGAGTCGCCATGTACCGTGAGATATCAGTTGCTTTGTTATAGACCATATTACTGACCGGTTTATTATCGTTTCCTGCTTGCCAGGCATATGACTTGGTCATAGTGCTTGGCATTTGGATCCTGCATGTTTGCTTGATATGCTATTTGGCTATTAAAAGATGGATTTTGTCGCTGTGTTGATGATCCTGGTCCTAATTAAGCTTATGTGGATATGCCTGTGATATGGGGGATTGGATGGCAAGTTAGTGTCCGCATTTGTGTTCTTTTCGGGGAAGCAAGGGGTTGACTATAATCTGCTTGAACACACCTACAACTACAAGAAAAATCTATGTTCTTGTCACCTCTTCTGAAAGCAAGTGACGAATCATCCATTAGGGAAAATTAACTGGTAATGTTTTCAATCTTGCATCTTCAGTATTGTCTTACAACGTCATTCTCAAATGACTTTTGTTTTGGCAGGCTTCTTTTTGGTTATTTGTTCTTGTTCTGGATTGGTTGCTACCGTCGTTCTGGATTGGTTACTTACGTCCTAAGATCATTTCAGTCATCTCATTTTAGTCATGCCAGTTGATATCCATGAGTGCAAAGAGATTATTCTTTGGTTCCATTATATGTGCCTTTAGCATTGGAGGACCACTGTTACACTCACCATCGGGTGTCTTGACAAACTGGTTATGGTTGCTTCGCCATGCTGGGGTGTTCCTTGAGCTGTCCCCTGTTCCTTGTGAGACCAGAGATTATGCTTAATCAGCCTGAGTGGATGTGATGCTATCTGGTTGCTGTTCCTTTGACACTGCACCACTGGCCTATTGCAGCTTATAACGCTGGTTCCAGAGTAGTTACTGGTTCCCTTTTGAGAGGAGTTACGGGGATGTTATTATTCATCAGCAGCATACTAATTGTCCTTTGGCATCTACATGTGTCTTGGCTTTGATTTAGAATAGCCTTTTCTTAGTTCACCTATTCTTAGGATGCAAATGTTAGGGTCGTCTGATGTTCGTACTAGCCAATTGAGTTTTTGTACTCAAAGTACGTTACATTAGCTGCTCAAGATTCTTTTCCCTGGTTTTAAACATGTTGATTTGTACTGAAAGTGCTTCTCTATCTCTGTCATGAGTACTACGGATCCAACTTGTTTCTCTAAACCGTGTGCCGTATGTTTTTATGTGTTGCAATTAGAGCCATTTCCTTTCAGACTATTGAGTCTATTGGCGCCTGAGCTGTCATCAACAACAGTAGCATCATTTTACCATGATCCAGTGGATCCAGCTTGCTTGTGTTCTCAGTGTTGTCTGTTTTGTGCATATGCAAAACATTCATAGTGATTGATTTGAGACATTTTTTGGCTTCAAAATCGTATTGGTGCTGGATCTGCAAAACATTAAGTCATTTGCAGCAGCAGCAGACAGACAGACAGACGTACTATCGGCATCATATGTATCGTTGATGCTGTGGTAGCAACGTACATCTTTCTATCTATTTATATACTATAATATATATCTGTAATCATGTTCGTTCGTCTTGCACTGCACGTTCGTTTCTCGGATCTATCTTAGAGTGCGGTTGCGACGATGGGGTACTTGTTCTTGGGCATCCGCACCAGCGTCGGCTGCACCGTGTCGTCGTTCTCCAGCGGTTTCCAGCTGCAACCAAATCGAAGCCAAGTGAGCTCAGCTGCTGCTGACGGATGGATGGATGGGAAAGCAGTGGCCAGCCGTGGCTGCTCCTTGCTGGTGCAGCTTACAGCTTACCTGTATCGGCAGACGAGGTGGTGGACGAAGACGCAGATCTCCAGCTTTGCCAGGCTCATCCCGGGGCACATCCGTGGCCCGCTCCCGAACCCCAGGAAGCTGTAAGGCTTGAACGTTTCCTGCGTGAAAGAACATGGCATCAACACACTCTGTCAGTCAGCTCGCTTCCGGCGACAGGCGTAGCCGTCGAGCCAGAGCTCGCCGGAAACTTACGTCGAATCTGTTGGGGTTGAAGCGCTCGGGGTCGGCGAAGATGGACGGGTCGTGGTGGATGGACACCACGTCCAGGTTCACCGACGTCCCCTTCTTGATCTCGTAACCTGCGTGTCATAGATTCTACTGCATCAGTCCATGCTGCTCTATCCAGTGTCGTAGGCAGGTTGCGGTGACGATGTCACTGCCACTGACCGTCGATGCTGAAGTCCTGCGCGGCTTTCCTGGAGAACCATGGCAGGATGGTTGCTCTCCTCAGGGTCTCGTTCATCACCTGCAGCAGTTCAGTTGCCTAGTGATGAGGCCTATCTGTTTATGAGGGACAAGGACTAACGAAGACGCATCGAAACGGCATGGCGCTGCGAGGTTTGAGACGATCGGCCTGTTCGCTGGTTGTTTTCTGGGCTGGTTTAGGCTGGCTGGTGTTGGTTTATTGTGAGAGGAAAACACTGTTGACTTGCTGGTTTGGGTTGGCTGAAACCAACAAGCGAACATCTGGATAATTGTCTCACCTTGTTTGTGTAAGGCATGTTGTTGACATCAGACCACCTGAGACGCGACGAGCCGTTGAGCCTCTCCTTGATCTCCAGGTGCTCCTCCTGCAACCACACCACTGAACTCAGTGACAAGAAGCCTGACGGACGAACGGCTGAACTCACGAGCAGGAACAGAGGCTCTCCGGCTCACCCGTAGCTTTTCCAGGACGTCGGGGTTCTCCCCGAGGAACTTGACGAGCCACGTGAGGCCCGCCGTGGTGGTGTCGTGGCCGGCGACCAGCAGGGTGAGGATGTTGTCCTTCAGCTGCGCGTCCGTCAGCTTGTCCGCCTCGTCGCCGGCGTGCTTCCGCAGCAGCGTCTGCAGGAAGTCGCTCGGGGCCTCACCGCCCTCCCTCCGCCGCCTCGCGATCACCGAGTCCAGCATCGCGTACATCCGATTCCTGGCCTTGAGGCCCCGGTGGAAGGCCGTGCCGGGGACCTTGAGCGGTAGCGACGCGAACGACGACGAGATCACCTTGAAGTTTGCCTGGAACTTCTCCTGCTCCTCCCCCTCCGGCTCCAAGCTCACCAGCATGTTGGCGATCACCTTCAGCGTGAACTGCACGGCGAGATCCATCGGACAAACAAATTCCAGTCAAAATCTGAAGAGCACGACCACGACCACGGCGGCGGCGGCGGCTTGAACAAGTGGAGGAGATGCTTACCGACGAGGCCTCCTCCAGCACGAGCACCCTGCTGCGTCCGTGCCACGTGTCCAGCGTCTGCACGGCGAGGTCGTTGATGAACCCCAGATACTTCTTGAGCGCGTCGACGGAGAGCGGCTCGCCGATGAGCCGGCGCAGCTTCTTGTGCTCGTCGCCGTTGGTGGTGAGCAGGCTGGTGGGGCCCAGCACCTGCTTGCCCGTGTAGAAGAGGTTGAGGCTCACGACGCCGTCCTTGCCGGAGAGCAGGATCTTGGCGGCGTCCCTCCCCGTCATGAACACCGTGATCCGCCCCAGCACGTACGTCTTGAACACCTTGCCGAACCGCCGCTGCCGGTCGCGCATGAAGCTCAGGATCCCCGCGGGGCTCGAGAAGTCGGAGATGAAGGAGAACGTCTCGCCGATCACCGGCACCCCATCGTGCCCGGGATGTCCCTCATCTCCTTGGAGGAGCTCCGTGACCGAAGCCACAGGAGGCCCGCGAGTGCCAGGGCGACGGCGACAAGCACGGGAGCTCCAAAGACGGCCATGGCAGATTGGCAGATACTGATGGTGTCTTCACAGACCTGCACTGCAATGCAATGCATACCGTCAGTGTCAGTTGTCAGATGCTCATATATATATATATGCTTCGCGACGATGCATCGACATCTCTGATTCCTCGGGATCATCTTTATCTTTGTTATTATCTTTTCTTGACATCGTTGCATGCGAGGGGAACCATTTGGAGGTTCTTTGGTATCCCTTCCGTCCTGTTTTGTCGTCGTTAAAAACTTGTTCCAATCTGCTTGTTTTTTGCCTATGTACTTGTCGTGGACACAGGTATTCCGATGCCTAGATGTACTTTGGATCAAAGACTGCGTCATTGCTGCCGATGGCTCTAAAAATTTGTACCGCCTCCGTCTCCAAAAAAAATACAATTCTAGCACAGTTTCACATTTTAGTATCTTAAGTTTGACCAATTATAAATAAAAAATATTCATGTTTATAATATCAAATAAATATCATCAGATTAATTACGAAATTTATTTTCATAATAAATTAATTTAAAGACACAACTGTGAATATTACTCACTAAAAACTTGGTTAAACGTGAACTACTTTTTGTGGCACGTAATCCATAATTGCGTTCTTTTTCAGGAGGTAGTATTTGTTTTGCAAGTTGATGAAAGGTAGAGAGCACTGCCATTTGCAGTGACGCAACGCAATACGCAAGCTTTGTTTTGTGCGACAGATCCACTGTACAGCAGAGACGCTGAGACCGGCCTTGATAAGGACCTGGTGTTAATTGTTGTCTCTTCTTGAAAAAAAAATATGAGTACAAGAGAAAGGAGCTTTGGACACTAAGCTGTTATCCTGGGAATAAACATGTATTATTGTCGGCCTTGTTCACCCGAATATAAGATGTTAAATGCCTGCCATTTGTCTTGCGCAACTGCACTGCTGCAGTGGCAAAGCCTTTGAATTCCAAGGATAGTCCACGGCTTATAGAATTTGGCAACTGAATCTACTCACTCCGTTCCCAAAAAAATGTGATTCAAACTATATCTAATTTAACTAAATTTATATATATAATATATTTTAAAACTTAAAATACTAAACATTTATCATTAGATTAGTTATGAAATATATTTTCATAGTAATAGGGGTGAAAATGGTACGGATATTTTCGGACCGTATTCGAGACCGAAACTGTTTATAGGGGTTTAGATCTGTCCGTATCCGAGCCCGGATATTCAA